TTCCCCTTACCCCTACCTAACATTTGTTGACTTACTTGAGCTTCATACCTCACTTTGTACATATGTACCTTGCCTGCATAAGTTATCTTTTAGAGCTATTCAGAAGCTTCTGTTATAACATTACATGAGGGTAATGCACCAAACATTCAAATATTAGGACCTGGTCCATCATGAGTCTTCAATGATATCATAAAGTCTTATTAGTATTATTATCATACAAGTGATAATTACTTTGTTAAATATTTTTACTGTAAAACCATATTAGCTCATTTAAAAAAAGATGTAAAGTTAATCAAAGTTCATGGAAAAAATAAATCCATCTAGTCCTTCAGAAATAATCATTCTCACAATATTGGAGGATTCACTTCCCCCTTTTATCATAATTCTGTCAATACAAACAATTTTATTGTTAAGAGGTTCCTGTACACTCATTAATTTTTCTTTATGTTATAGTGTAAATATTTTTGAATTTTAGTAATCAATCCATAAAACATTGTTTTCAAAGGCTGTATAATATTCTATCCTTTGAGTGCAATGTAAATATGGTGTCTTTATCCCTGTTATTCACCACTTAGTCTGAGATATAAAAAGCTGCTGGAGAGTTTTCTTCTCAGCTCTGAGAACAGGAGTGCCTTACGGTCAGCACCTCACCACTGCTCTCAGAGGCCCTTTGGGGACTACATGAGACAGCCATGTGAGGAAGGTAGCAGCGGTATGTGTTCTCAGATTCTTTGTGTTTCTCTCAGGCCTTTCCCTTTCACTTTTCTCCTATTGAATGTTTAGATCAATTATTAGCTGTTCTTTCCCTTGGCCCATGAGTAAGGCCTTATGTCGGTTTAAGAAATCTATTGTGGTGCACACTGGGAGAACATGGTGGTCAGGAATCCCAGGGACAGGCTGGACTCACAAAAGGCTGCGTGCATCAGAGGTGGAGGAGCAAGGCCGAGAGGCTGATTCCATGTCAGCCTTTCCTGATCTCCGTCTTTCATGCAATGGCCTCCCTGCATTGATGACTGAAATCAGGGTCCTTAGAAGAGGAGGTGGTGTGGATGCACATGTTGCCATGATCTTAGAAATGATCACATAAATAAGGGAGTGTGTATGCCACAGGGGCAAGGTGATGTTCATATTCTTTCTGTGGGGCCCAGGATGTACTGGATAAGAAGAATGCATGGATGAAAGGGCAGGCATCAGTTTCATAATTATTTCAGAGGTACATTAAAAGATACATGAAAAGATACATGAAAAGGTACATGAAAAGATAAAATTTTTATTTTATATTTTAAAAAACAAACTGATAACTTATTGCCATTTTATGTGTTCTGTGAACATGCCAGATCACTCTAATCCTGGTCACATGATTCCATACAAAGTAGTAGATTGTGTCAGCGAATGTTTCACTAAAGTCAGTTTTGTTTTCTCCATGGGTGTAGGAACAATGCACAGCACTTCTTTCATCCTGTTATCATCTAGAGGTCAGACTCTGGAACTATATTAAGTGAGTCCAATCCTACCTTGAGAATTTGTTGATACTTTTGTAAAAGTTTTCTTGTATTATTTTATTTATACAACATACTGGTGGCCCGACGCAAAAAGATTTGTGCAAAAATGGGCCTTCCTTCCCCTGGCTGCTGGCACCACCTTTGCTCCAGCCGGAGCCGCCTTTCTGCCTTCCCATGCTGCCTAGAGGCCTGGAGCAATGCAAGCATCCCACCCCGCCCCCAACAACCTGGCACCTGCATATGCAAATTAACCTGCCACCTTTGTTGGGTTAATTTGCATACTCACTCTTGATTGGCTGGTGGGTGTCATAAAGATACAGTCAATTTGCATCTTTCTCTTTTATTAGTGTAGAACTAGAGGCCCGGTGCACAAAAATTTGTGCACTTGTGGAGCGTTCCCTCAGCCCAGCCTGTGCCCTCTTGCAGTCTGGGACCCCTCAGGGGGTGACCACTTGCTGGCTGAG